GTGTCATGAAATGGTGACATTTTTTCCCCACGCCCCCTAATGTTCCTTTCCTCCCTGGTGATTCTGTGTGTTTGAGTGATGGTCAGTCTGTTTGGAGGCAGCTAGCTTTGTTTGTGTCTTAGGACAGAAGATGTTTAGAAAAGACAAGATTAGACCCCAAAGAGCTTAGGCATCTGCAAGGACCAAGAGAGACTCTACCAATAGAAAATACCATTCATTTTCCTTTCTTTGTCCATATTTTGTCGTTTTTCCATCTCCTTCCCTGAGAGTGAGCAAAGGGTAGGGAAATCTAAGTAGGAGGCTTCTATCCTTGACTGATTCCTTTTTTTAAAATTTTATTTATTTTATTTTTCTGCTTCCTAAGGGATCACTTAATTCATTTTGTGCCTCTGGAAAAGACCAGAATAATCCTAACTCCTCCAAATTCCTGGGCAGGTTACCTCTTCCAACCTCGGTTCATCATTATTCTGCACTGAGTTATGTAATGATTTGATCGTGTTGAGGAGTAATTCACCTTTGTTCCCACCTACGTTAAGACTGATTACAAATCCTCATAAAATACTCATTATGCTACCAAAAATGTTCTTAGGAATAGTCTGTTGGAGAGGTGGTAATGCTCCCGCTCGGAAGTGTGGGCTTCTGTCTAATTATGTGTAAATTATCTGAGTGGAATCTCAAATGTTTAGTGATAAACAGTTTTATGCTTCCCGGCAAAGTATCTAGTTTGTGAGGCAATATAATCAAAAGCAGCTTGTGTGCAGTGAATTGTAGATCGTATGACTTTGCCTCCTTTTCAAGTTATTCTTATAGAAAGAAATAGGAATGTGTCTGCAGCCCTTTAAGAAAAGCAAACGTTGTATTCTGCATTTTTTTTAAAAAGATAATTGATCCTTTGACTATGCTGCCGTTCTGTTCTCAGAAGAAACATTAAAAAGTTGGATTTCTTAAGAAATGCAATTAACCGACTTTTATTTAATGATTTTTTTTTTCTCAAGTTATTCATCCTGGAGGAGATGAGAATGGATTATTAAGAAGCAAAATATCATGATATTCCACTGCAATGCATCTTTAGTTACTCAGAGAAGATCCAGTGTGGTTTGGATGCAGATGCCCCGTCCTTCTCCTCATACCATCTCCGGGTGGGATGGTCAGATCTCCTCGGAGCTACCAAAAGAATGCTGTCCTCGTGGCAAACCGGACGCCATTTAGTGTGGATGAGAATGCAGTGGTCAGTGTAGCCAGTGGTCACTGTCGCCAACATAATCAGCATAATCATAAAAAACACAAGTACTTAAGCCTGGAAGGTCATTACTTCTTGGCCTTAACAATTGGGCTCCTTAAAAGCCCCAGGAAGCTGCAGAGAGGAGTCGGGCAGGGCGAATACCCATCCAAAAAATCACAGTCTTGAGACTTCTTTAGGCATAAAATGGTTGAGATATTTAATTAGGGCAGCACAAAGAGCCCAGCGTAGAAGACAATGGGAGTACCAGTTAAAATGAAATTAGTATACTGGTTATGATAAAAATTGCCACCTCTTAGAGTTTGAGAATCCTTTGCAGCTATTCTACTTTGAGAGAGACTCCTATTATTAAAGAAGATGACCAGCTTGGGAGAAAAAGGATAGTCTAGTAGGAGAAAATGATAGGAAAAAAAAATCAACGTTAAAACATTAATATTCCAGTGACAAGAGGCAAGAATGCTTTATTAGTTCCCCATTTGTGGTCAGTGCACAATAGTGCTGTTACACATCATGTGATTATTGCATAGGCCCCTAAAGAGATTGCCTAACGTATTTGTAGTGGTGTTTGGCTTTGTTTGGTTTCCGAGACTCTAAGGCAAACTCCATGCACATGGTTTAAGTTGGAAATGGTTACTGTGGTTATACTTGGTTATGATTCATTCAACCAATTGCCTGGTTGTAGATGTAGGCCTATTCACATACTGTTTGACCGAATTTGCAAATACACCAGCTAATTAGACAAGTGTTCCATGACACTTAAAGAGAGATCAAACCCGTGTCAGTGTCTCTAGATGGCTAAGTCTTAAATTTGCCCAGGATCAAAATGTCTCCATAATGACTCCTATGAATATTTGACATTTAGCAAACCAAGGGGTGTTGGACATGTTGAAGGCAAACCGTTTAGATGATTGACTAGACATATTTCTTTGCATCGTGTAGGTCTGTCCTATACTACCAGCATATCCTTTTAAGAAAGTTTATTCCCCCTTTTAGAGTTCATTAAAATGTACCGTGACTGTCTATGGAATGCATCTGTTTCATATTGACTTCCGCTTGTCTACCTTCCTATGCTGCACTCTCTACATTTAGTCTTTCCTCCAGTCTGCAATTCACAGCAGAAAAAAAAAATCTAAAGGAATTTTATTTTTATTTCCTTTTTTTAGTGCAAACATATTACAAATCGCCAACTCATGATATATTCACTTTGAACGTAAAATATCATTTGTTTAAAAAATGCAATAAAACCTGAAATCTACACTAATATTCATCCGGAAGATTAAAGCTGCCAATGAATTATGCAGCTGGTCCAAGGCTGTCTTGTTCCCAGCCTAAATTTATCTTGTCGAAAGGGAATTATTCTGACCGGAGTTACAGAGCGAAGATGGTTCAAGTTTGGTTGGTCCATTGCCTTCTTCGGGTTTATTTATTTTTCTTTTTCCTTTTTATTTATTTTTAAAATTTGATTATGTTTCTCTTAGGAGCTGGATTTTAAAACGTAAATACTGATGAGGGACTGATGAAAAAAAAAAAGGCCTGTTTTTTCTGATTGCAGAAGTGACAGGGTGATGCATAAAAGATTTCTGGAGAATCTTTTATTTTTTTTAAATATATTTTTTTTCTTTCCTTTCCTTTCTTTCTTTCTTTTTTTTTTTTCCAAACCTGATCTTTGGCCATGGGGGACCCCTCGCTGAGCACCTCACCTCCCCGACTCACACGGAGGAAGCCTCGGTGTAATAGAAATAAGTGCTGCATTTTCTCTCTGTATAACCTGTCACTTGGGCGAAGTGCTCCGGCGCCTCTTTGGTAAAGCTGAAACGCGGATTTCTCAGAAATGTCTTGTTTTCAGTTAATGATATTTTCTGCTTTTCTCCAGGTGGTCTCTTTGGGGGTTTGCTCTTGAATTCATTTCTGCGTGCGCAGGCCACGCTGTCTGCTGTTCGTGTATGCCGCGGGCAGCCCTCTCCACGCTCGGCCCCGGCAAGCATTCAGGGTGCGGTGGCCTGCAAACCCGGCCCGTTCCCAGTCCCGCGGCGCTCGCTGTCTTTAGGGTAAAGGCGCGTGCTGATAGAATGTTATGGATAAGGCTACATTAGAGATCGAGACGCTGTGGGACTAGAGAGGAGGGCTGGTCTGGCATGGGGAGGGAGGCAGGCTGGCTGCGATCGGATCCGTTCCCTCCGCTGGCAGGCCAGGCGTGATGGAAGGCATCAATCAGCTCATGCTCCTGTCGCCTGACCTGCACCAGCGCTTCCCTGGGGGGGGGGGTCAGAGGTCACCTTCCTCCAGCGTGAAATCCCACAAGGAAAGGCAACTTCCGGAAATGGTCAGGATTTCTATCCCAACCGCAGAGCCAGCCCCCAGCGGCTCACAACGGCCAAAAGGGAAATCGATCATTGGCTCATTAGGGGGTCCCGTGGGGTTTGTGCTCTGAGAAACCAGGGGGCCTGGTAAGGGCAGACGCCCCGGCGGCCAGTGTGGCCGTCTTAGCAGATGTTGTGTTTGTCGGTCCTAAGGCCGGTCCCCTGTCAGCTGCTCCGAGGGTGTCGGCTCGCTCCCCCTGTGCAACGCTATTGGGAATCGCTTGTGCCTGTTACAGAAAGAGGACAACTGTAGAACCCCAGTCTGGGTTAGACTCCTGTGACCACAGAGTTCTGTCCCTCTGCAGAGACCCAAAAAGCAAAAAACCCACAAAACTCAACAATGTGAACCTTGACTTTATCTAGCTGTTCCCTTCATCCCTCCATCCTTGCCTTCATTGCAAAACGAGCAACCCCCGTGCTTCAGAAAACTTAGGTAACTCCCCCAGCTGCACAAAGCTACTTCGTTCAAGTCTCCTGCCTTCCAGAATAGAGTCTTTCTGCTCCGTCTGTGTTCCCTGAGAATTTGAGGAGTGGCGCGTCCCTCACTAACCCCTTGGTTAAGGAAAATGTGCACAGACTCTGCACGGCGTCCAGGGAGGCTGCAGGATCACCTAGCCTCGCCCACAGACGAGGATGAAGTGGAGGCGGGTAAGGGAGAGGCCCACATGCCTTGGGCATCAGATTCCATATGGGAGCCACCCTGCATTAGGGTCACCATGGCTGTAGTCAAGGGATGAGTCCGGGCGACGTCTCGGTGGGGGCAGCTACCTTCTAAGAACCGTCCATACGTAAGGACAGAGTCCTGAGGCAGTCAGCTGGAACCTTAGAGGAGTTTCTCAGCAGGGACGCTACTGACATTTTGGGCCAGATAGTTCACTGTTCTGTGTCCTTCCTGTCCATTGTAGGATGTTTGGCAAAATCGCTGCCTCTCCCCACTAGATGCCAGTAGCACCCCTTCCTCCTGGAATGGAAGCATTGTTCAAATTTCCCCTAGGGTGCCAAATAACTCCCCCCTTGAGAACCACTATCCTGTGGCCAGATTTGCACTCACCAAGGGTAGACGGCATAATGAGTGGCAGCAACTGTGGGCTTCTTGAATAGATTGCATGTGTATGGGCCGAGCTTCTGCTGCTGGGGTAGTCCGGAATAGACAGGAAGACTTCTTCCCTTACTGTGTGCGGGCCGTGGGACTTTGAGCAAAACCCTTGCCTGCTCTATGCTTCAGTCGTCCCGTCTGTGAAACGGGATCCTACTAATGCTCGTATATCCTTCCGGTGTCTGTGGTGAAAAAGGTTTGCACACGCACACGCACAGAAACGCACAGATCGTTACGTAAGTGTTAACTGCTCTTCTTATTACCATTTTGTGGACATGTTCTCTGGTGCTGGAAGACAAAGAAAATAGCAGGCTCCTTTCTTCTCGGGGCTTCTAATCTAGATGAGAAGATAGCGTCCACACACAGAAGGCGGTATGCAAACCGGTCATTGTGAACCGAGCGATTATAAGGGCAGAGATTGTTGAGGGAAGAGTGGGGTGTGCACAGTTTTGCTTAAGTCTGAACTGAGGAGCCGTCTTGATCTCTCTCTTGTGTGGGGTGTGAGGGGTTTTTCCAGAGAGAGGGGGGAGTCTCCCCGTGTCGCGCCTTTTCTTTTTCCTCTTCTCCGAGCCGCGTTGTGATGGGCGCGTGTGCGGCGTTTTCGCGGGGGGGGGGGTCGTTTATTTCTTCGAGCCACAGATATTCGCTGGACAGCAACTCACTGCAAGGCCCAGGGTCTTAGGAATTGTTCGATGGCAAGGAAAACACACCCACACTCTATAAAGGTATCTCTTTTTATAAAAATCAAGAAATATTTCACAAAACCGAGTTGCAGGACATGTGAGGAAATACCAGGAGATTAAAAGGCATCTAGGCATCCAGTGAGTTTTGTGCCAACTTGTGCTCTCCCGCACTCTGCCTGCTGTCCTGTCTCTGCTCCATGAAGCAGTGGGCTTTTTGCACCTCTCTCTGCTCGTCTCTCTCTGTTCTTGCATGCCCTGGTGCTTGATCCGGCTTCCAGTTCTGCACGGCCTTCCTTCCTGGCCCCCAGATCTACCTCCCCAGTCTCTATTCTCCAAATCCCATGTTCCTGGGGAAGGGGAATGATGTCATTGAGCCAACAGGGCTCGGTGTTCACCGTGGGTTCACACAGCTGGGAAGATTTGAGGGGGACCACTTGGCAGGTGAGGCTGCCTCCTCCGCAGTGGCAGGGAGGGTGGATTCGCTGAGAAAGTGGTACGGGTGGGAAGCAATGGCTGGTGCTTCGATAACACCTCCCCTCTGTGTTGGCCGGGGAGGTGTCCTGCACACTGTGTACCCTCAACCCCCAGATCGCCTCTCCCTGGGCGTCAATCATCACCACCCACCACAGAAGCTGCGTCCTTGTTCGCTTTCCCTGAACTGCATCTTCGGAGGTAAGACTCTCACGGTGCTACTTCCTAGGCCCACCTAGAGCTTTGCAGAAGGGAGGGAGGGTCTCCCCCTGGACTTAGTCGACATCTCTTCCTCTCGTCGGATCCCTGTGTCAAAGTCAGGTTTATCGAGGCATAATTCACTTGCGGTAAAATGTATCCTTTTTAGCACATAGTTCTGCAAGTTTCGACAAATGTGTACAGTGCTATCACAACCACCACCATCAAGATTTGGAATGTAGCCATCATTCCAGAAAGTTTGCTCGGGCCTGTCTTGTGGTTAGTCCCCAGCCCAGTCGCCGGAAATCACTAATCTCTTTTCTGTCCCTGTAGTTTTGCCTTTTTCAGAATATTCTGTAAATGGAACCATAACTAAGTAGCCTTTGAATCTGGCTCCTTTCTCTCAGTATGATGGACTTGAGATCCATCCATGGGGTTGCAGCTACCAGTAGTTCATGCTCCCCTTTCATCGCTGAGTAGCGTTCTCTGGTTTGGATGCACCACAGTTTGCTCACCAGTCGAAGGGCATTTGGGTTATTTCCAGTGTTTGCTGGTTATGAAAAAGTCAGTACAAGCAGTCACATGCAGGTATTTCTGTGGATATAAATTTGTAGTTCTCCGGAGTAAATTCCTAGGACTGGTGTTGCCGGGTTGGACAGGACGCATATATTTAACTGCATAAAGATGTTTCATTTCAGGGAAGCAGTGGACATAGTAGTAGCTTTGATGCTGCATCCTGGATCCCGGCTCATATTTCTCTGAGCATCTCTTTCTCGCAGCAGAATCCATGGTAGAATCAAAACTTCTGCATGAGGTTAGGGCAGTTGCTCACTTGGTTATGGAGCCTCAAGAGGGCCCCTCAACTTCTGGTCACTGCCTCCTTGTGTCGGACGTCCCTTCTCTACTCCCTGAGCACCCACACCCTTCCCCACAGCCCTGCCACACACTGATTCCCTTTCTGGAACATTTTGCCACCCACCTTTCTCCTTGCCAGCTCCTCACCCTGAAATTGCCCAATGAAATGCCACCTCTTCAGCGAAGTCTTCCCCCACCCTTAGTCTAAACCCAGCCCTTTGCTATCTATAGATACCTTATTTTTTTTTTATTTTATTTTTTTTTAGCAACTTGTTCTTTTCCTTTCCAGCATTTGCCACCATGAGCCTCAGAAAATTAACTGTGCAATTTGATTTTTAATTGGAATTTTTATGGAGATCCTTGAAGACTCACACGCAGCGTAAGAAATTCTACAGAAAGACCCCATGTAACCTTTACCCAGGTTTCCCCAATTTGGCAAAATTGTAATACACCGTCACAACAAGGATATTGATGTTGGTACAATCCACTGATTTTATTCAGATTTCCCTAGTTTTTCTTGCATTAATGTGTGCATCTTTGTGTATATATATGTGGGGGGTGGTGTTGGTTGTGTCTCATTGCATACAATTTCATCCCATGTGTAGGTTTGTGTATGCATGACCACAGTTGAGATACCAAACAGTTCCATCACCCCAGGGTCCCTTCTGTTGTTTTCATTATAACCACACCCACCTCCCTCCCCTCAAATTCCTAACTTCCAACAAACACTAATCTTTTCTCCATTTAAAAGTTTAGACATTTCAAAAATGGAACCATAGAGTACCTGACTTTGGGGCTTGACCTTTTTTTTCTCAATATAAATCCCTGGGGACTCCTCCAAGCTGCTGTGCATAGAAACAGTTCACTTATTTTCATCGCCAATTAGTATTCCGTTCTAGGGATGTACCACAGTTGGTTTAACCATTCATCTCTTGAAGGGCGTTTGGACGCATTCTGGTTTTAAACTATTATAAATAAAACTACAACCCCCCCCCCATGTGCAGAGGTGTATACAAAAACAGGTTTCCATTTCTATTGGATAAACGCTCAAGAGCAAAAATTCTGAGACTTTCGTTTTAAAAGAAATGGGTTGACTTTTAAAGTCAGTCTCTGCCAGTTGACTTTAAGTTCCATGGGGGTAAGTGGACTGAGTTTTGTTTGTTTGCTTGTTTGTGTGTTTAATTACTGCGTACTGGGAATACTGCACAATCCTTAGAACATAATTTACCACTCTATAAATATTTATAGATGAATTAAGTAAGGAGTGAATGAGTGAATGCATGAATAAAAATGCTGGCATAGGGATTAAATAAAATAGTGTATGTAAATCATTTTCCGAATGCCTAGCATGGAGTAAGCTGCAATATTAGGTAAATGCTTTCGGCGCCATCACCATTGTAAGGTACGATTTGGGCTGCGGGGAACACGACTGAACTTTCACATCCTTTCGCTTTCTTCATCATGCAGAACATCACATGGCTTTGCGGGATTCCAAGAATCTGAGCTTTTGCTACTTTAACTTCATTTCCTTAAAGAAAAGCCCCTCTCCTGACTACGCTCAAAAGTAACAGGGTGGGGATTTGGGTTTTGTGCCTTAAATGAGATCCTGCTGACGTCGGTCAGGGTGAAACTACATGGCCACTTTTCTCTGTTGAACGTGAGCGCAGGGAGTGAAGGCTGGGAGATGCTGGCCCGGGAGGGCGTGTGGCACAAGAGAGGTTAACCCCGTTTCGGGATCCTCGCGGTCCTGGCGTGTGGGATAAATATGGGTGAAGCCGATGGAGGGAGCACAGCCCTTAATAGAGAGAGAAAATTAGTCATTCTCGTTCGCCCGAGGAAAGTGCAGGTCTTCGTAATGTCTTGATCTGTGTACAAAGAGCAAGTAAAGACAAGCAGTCCTCACAGCAAAAATAGAAATGAGGTTTTCCCGACAAAAATGCCACCAGAATGATGAGCTGTCACATAGGACCTGGAGAGGCGAGAAAGAAACTTCTTTGGTGACTATAATTAGGCTTACATGGAGAGCAGCAGTGTTTGGGAGCTCTGCCAGGGCGCTCTCTTTCTCTTTCTAGAATCACCCTCAGACTGTCTCCAAAGGGCTGGGACAGGGAGCAGGTCAGAGCTGCTCCCTGGTGGCCCAAACCCCTGCGCCCCACGTACCACGGTGAGGAGCTGACATGGGGTCCCTGGAGGAGAAGTGTCTTCACCTCTGTGACTCGGGCCACTTAAGAAAAAGGAGAAGAGGAGGAAAGCTTTCTAGCTTTTCTTATTATGAAAGTGTGCCTCCTGCGCATTATAGAAAGCAGCATAGATTAGCAATGAAATAAATAGTGAGTGAGATGTGCACCATCTGGGGGATGGTCATGATGGAGACTCAGACTTTTGGGGGGAGGGGGGAAATGGGCATTTATTGAAACCTTAAAATCTGTACCCCCATAATATACCAAAATAAAAAAAATAATTAAAAAAAAATAACAAATGTCACCTCTAACCTCAACACCACATTTCAGTGTTTCCTCCAAGCTTTGGATGTGCCAGTGTAGATGCGTAGATTTAGATATGGAGAGAGATAAATTTAGAAGTAGAAAGCATACATTATAGATGGATTTCATTAATATGTACGTGGGATCTTACCAAATAAGTGTGGATTTGTATATTCCTTCCCCTCGCCCGTTTCATAGACATTTTTCTGCTTCTTAAGCTGTTCTTTTCTGTTTGTATTTTCAAAACCGTGGGATACAGCCCCAGTGGAATGAGTGTTAAAGTAGTTTGGGGATGTTTAACCAAAAACAAACAAACAAACAAATCCCTGTGCATTTGCTGGCTGAGATCCGCCGTATTCACGTTCCGTGGGAGGAAGCACGCACAGGAGCCCCCCCGAGACTCCTCCAGACATCCCTGGCCCAGGTCTCCGTACACCAGGGAGGTCTTGTGCTGATTGAAGACACCCACAGGGCAGGGGTCTTCTGGGAGCAGGATCCACCTGAAAAATAGTTTGGGATTCTGTAATCCAATTTAATCTGGGGAGGGAAAAACACTATCAGAGAATTCCTATTCAACTTTTAGACACTCTACTCTGAAATCCACTCTCAGGAATGCATTATGCAATAAAGTAGAAGATGCAAGAAGATGCCCCCACTGACCTGAGTGAGGGGCTCCGTGTATGAACCCAAATAAGTTATTTATTTTCTCCCACATTCAGTTTCTGCACCTGTAAAATGGGAGAGGTCATATTACCTTGCTCATTGGGATGCCAGGAAGATGAAGTAAGACAATGAATGTAAAGGACTTGGCATGGTACTTAGCATACAGTAAATGTTCACTGATTTTTAATTTATTTTGATATTATTATTATTTTTTTTACAATATTTCTTGGAATTGTGTGTATCTTGATAGAGCAGGGGGAAAAGCATTGGAATGTCTTGGCTGGTGAGAGGCAGGGGTTGGAGGAAGGGAGGGTTGCAGCCTGCAGAGAGTCTGAGCAATATTAAAGGAAGTATCAGCACCCTGGAGGTTGCTGTTTTCACTAAAGAGGTCATAAAATATTAACATCCCACAGAGTTACCCAGAAGAACACTGGTGTCAGCTCCTGCCTGCTGTACCAGAGAGCCTCCTTAGAGATGTCGGTGGCCCAGTTTTGAGGAGGGGGAAGCAGGGGGGATCAGGGTGGTGACTGGGTTTCAGTTGCTTCCTGGGCTGGAAACACCAGAGTGGAGGGAGAAGGGTGGGATCCTCAAGTAGCAGCGGGCTCTGCTTAGAAGGATGAAAAGAACATCTCCTTTGGTGTCCAGCCAAAGTAAGCAGGGCTGTCTTTCCTGCAAAGGTGATTTGCATCACCTCATTCTTATGTTTGCAATCAATAATGGCCAGATCCCCAACAGCAACATCACTGCCATCATCATGACCGCCACCACTACCATCGTCACCCTCATCACCACCATCATCACGCTACTGCCACCGCCATTATCATTATTACCATCACCTTCACTCCATCATCATCGTCACTGTCATCATCTTCATCACCACCACGATCATCTTTGAAGCTAACATGCCTCATGCACTTACTAGTGCCAGGGGTTGCGCCAAGCAATTTACGTGTTTTATTCCATTCTAGCCAAATTCAGTCTTATATATATTAAAAAAAAAAGATAGTCATGCTTTTCCCATGTATAAATTAGGACCCCAAACCCAGGAAATTTAAATAACTTGCCTAAAGTTGCCCAGCTGGTGCATAACAGACCCAACATTCAGAACCAGAACCATTATTACCATCTACTTCATTATCAAGAAGGTAGGATGAGGTTAGGGTAAATTCTGTGGTCCCAGAACATGCCCTTTTAATTCTTATGATTCTTCCTCATAGGAGATTCAACCTATCATCTGAGCTTTCTGGTATCACATGGCAAACCAGTGGTTCTCAGATATATGCATCCATTTATACTAGTAGAGACTCTCTTAGAAATAAATGTTACAGTGAACTCCATTTATAAAAGAGATGAAAAGACCAGGATTAGAGATGAATTTTATAATTTCAAATATGAAACATGTATTATAAAGGCAATCAGTGAGAAAATGAGGCTATTTTGATGAACGTCAATATTTGAAATTGGGAGTGTGGATAACAATATTGTTTTCAATTAGCCTCATAATCCAATTCACTTCAGTACTTTTAATTTGTTGCATGACTTTGAGAAAATGCTGATTCACACACTGACACAGAGTTTCAAAAGGTAATTTTTTAAAAACCAGATGACCTTAAAATATATGGTTCATCTGGAAAGGTCAACCAGCTGTCTCCTGCCTTCCTGGCCCTTGTATACAACTCCAGGGTCAGCACTGTGCTTGGCACAAAGAATGTAGCTCAGAGACCTGGAAGTGGAGGAGGACTTGTGTTGTCCTTTCCAAGGTTTCTCATTCATCGAACCAATATTTAAGAAGTATCCACTACCATAAGCCAAGTGCTGTTCTAAGGTGGTGTGGATACAATGTTCAAGGGGAAAATGAAGTTGTCATGGAACATGTGCATGCCACTGTGTGCAGGATGGAGTGGCAGGAGTAGGAAATAGAGAAAGAACTTGCTGTCAACACCAGCTGTGCCACTTATAAGCAAGGTGCTTACCTAACACTTCTGGGTCTCAGCATCGTTGTGGGTAACATAGTGTTATCACCACGTGCTCAGAACTGCCCCTGTGACATCCTCCTCCTCTCCCCCTTGACATTGCAAAACATACAAAGAGGCATGCTTCAGTCTGTGATTATGTGTTTAATTAGGCTCTGGGCATTCTGGAATTTGGACGCTCGTATCATGAAAGCAACTTCAGCAAAAGAACATGTATTTGGAGAGGTTCTAACACGCACTGGGCATAAGTGATTACAGTACTAGGTTTGAGATAGCCCGAATCTGGACAGAGGGAGTCACAAAGAAGTGCCACTTAACGTTGCAAGGGGAGAGGTGCAAGACCATTTTAAAGCTATTCGCTATGGTGCCCTACCCAGTGGGAGGGGTCACTGATATCTTTTGAACAGATGATTGACATGCTTGGTTTCAGGTATTTAAAATTCCTCTGTGGAATTAATGTAAAGTGTGAGTTGGGAGGAACTGAGACTGAGAGCAAAGGAACCAAGTAGGAAAGTATGGCTTTTTTATTCTTTGCAAATCTAGGCTACATAGAAAAATGCGTTGCACTAGGACAGCAGCAGTGGAAAATCAAGAAAGGCTTCATAGCTGGGAGATGCAAGGGTTATAAAGGACACAGTTTTGGAATCAGTTGACTAAGCATAGCAGCAAAGGGAGAAGTGGAGAGCAAATGCTATGCTTTCGAGGCTAGGTAAATGGAAGGGAGGTGTTTCCATTAACACACAGGTAAGTCAGTACAGGAGGAGCAGCGTGTGCAAGCGCTTTGCTTGGGGCAGGGGGGATGCTAAAATAGCAGTAAGAATAGGACCTTGGCACTGGGACCTGCAGGAGGCTGTGTAAAGTTCATGGTCATCCCTGAAATGTAGCCCATGAGGAGAAGTCAGGGCTAGGGGATGTGGTGGTGAGGATTCCTCAAGACTCTGTAGAGAGTCGGACGCAGCGGCTTTTGACCTTTGCAGGGGTGTGAAGAGCAGCACAGCCATTGTGTGTGCATCACAGCAGTGGGTCGTGCAAGGTGACGGTGACTGGGGTGCAATGGGCAAGAGACCTAGCGACGCACAGAGTGATGCCGAGTGAGACCTTGTGTGTAGGGAGCATGCCAGAGCCCAGCAACCCATGACACAAGAGGGGCTGGCAGGGAAGTGTAGAGCGTTTCTCTTACATGCCACTGTGCTGAAAGGATCTGGAGTCATTATTACAGAGGTGACACCAGGTGAAGGAAGTGCTATGCTCTGAGCAGTGGGTACAAGAGATCATCAAATGGGGAGTGCAGTTTGGGTTTGGGAAACTGTCTTATTGCAAACACGGGTGAGAGATGACCCTCTTCCGCACACAGGAACAACTGGTGCCAAGCTTTCAAGGAGGAGAAAATGGGAAACAGTAGTGAGGATGACAATTTGTTTTCTGGCTCCCAAAGGGAAGAGAGAAGAGGAAAAGGAAGTATGACAGATAATGTCTAGAACCAAGAGAGTCTACTCAGAGTTCATGGTGGTAAAATAGCCCATGTCATTTTCAAGGGTGTGAGGCATACAGTTTGCCCGCCTCCTGTGTGGGTTCCACATCTGCAGATTCGACCAACTGTGGGTTGAAAACACTCGGGGGAAAAAGTTGCATCAGTGCTAAATAGGTACAGATAATTTTTTTCTTGTCATTTTTTCCTTAAACAATATAGAAAAGCAACTATTTATACAGGATTGACATTGTATTAAGTACAGTAAGTAATTTACAGATGATTCAAAGTATACAGGAGGATATGTGTAGGTCCTATGCAAGTACTATGCGTCCGCAAATTTTGGTATCCATGGAAGGCCCTGAAACCAATTCCCCATGGATACTGAGGGATGAGTACAGATCCTTCTAGAACTGTGTTTCTAAAATGGGAATCCCATCTTCTATTCCCTCTTCCAAAGTCTCCATGTCTACAAAACTCACACATGCCTTATCGGACTAGGTAGGTTGTAGAACAGAACATGGTTATGGGCTTTGTTTCCTATGTGGGTCTTTATAGTGGAACCCACAGATGGCGAACACACAAACCTGGGCTCGCAGGCCAGGTGAGGTTGCGAGAATTGTGAGGGGCCTGTCATTGTGAATTACAACTTGGGAACTGAGACTGGGCATTCTGGGGATTGTAGAGGTGAGATCTTGAGAGTCAGGTACCTTCACGACATAACCTTCTAATTTTTGCAGATGAACCGAGTTTTGTCTGAGTCCTTGCATCCTTCCTAGCTCACCACCAACCCTCACCAGGCTTAGAAGATGTGCGCCGCCAGGATAGCGCCAGGGACTGAGAATCCCTGTGGCGTCTCTTCCCTGTGTTCCAGGACAGGACCTTGGGAAGGCTGAGGTCAAAACAGATTAATTCAGAGCTTGAGATGTTAGAGGTGAAGTCACCTCTAGTCAGAAATGCTTGATGGCGGCTCGGGTTGCAGAAAGATAAATATTTCTGAGCATTTATGGGGTCAAAGAACCCTGCAGCCAAGGTTATTAAAGAGGCAAAGGAGAATCTTCTGCAGGCTTTGTTTGACTTCAGAATTTGCTTGGGTTTTATCCAGAAAGCCGAAACACAGAAAGTGGGTGGGGTGGAGGCTTCCCAAAGTAGACCTCCCCACCCACTTGTTCATTAGGAGAAATCACCACTTAGCTGTTTTTGTCTCTGCCGCCTACCTCCCTTGTCCCACGCGCTTACATTCTGTCCTGTGCACTGGAAACAGACTCCCACCCCTCTCAAGTGCCAAACATTGCACTCTCCCTCAGCACCACGTCCTGGAACCTACTGTTGCAGGAAAGCCCCCGTGGAAACCGAAGTTATTTGCGTGCTCTGCTGTCTTTGCATGCGGGGTTCTGCCTGGGGTGTCTTGGGTCTCTCCTGGCAGGTGTCAGTCAGCTGCTCTGATAGGACACTGTTAACTTGTCACTTGGCAATAGGAGGGTGTTGGCAGAAGAGACTGGGACCGGGTCTTTTCTTTTGAGCAGCTGAGGGTGGACTGTGGATGAGGTGGGACTTACTCCTTGTGGCACCCAATAAGATCAAGAAAGCTTGGGGAAATTTCATACTATGAGGTGACCAGGGTCATCGACAGATTCCTGGAAAAGGAAAGCTTGGGGACAAGCTGACATAGTGCAATGCTTTCAAAAAAGTGCTTGCTATGTTTAGACGATATAAACAATGATGAATGGAATGATGATAGTGATAATGGCAGAGACGATGATATAAAGAATAATTTATTGTCCGATAGACCTGAAAACACTGTTCCCATTTCTTATTAGTAGGACAAGGTGTATACTTTTTTGCAGCTCAGTTTCTTGTTATGTAAATTGGGACTATAAAAACCTACCTTACAGGGTTTTGTGAAGATCAGATGGGGGAAAAAAAAATGAATTACCATCTGGCCAGAAGTAATTTTCTAAAATGTGTTTATTACCCTCTTCAGTCTCCACAAGATAGTGAAGGACTTGACCTGCTATTTTGTGAGATACGGTTGATGAAGGATTTAGTTGACAAGGGCTAATGTGTAAGCTCGTGTTCATTTGATTCATTAGCAAGGTTAAATAAATCATGTACTCGGAGGCCAGGGCAGAAAGGTGATGTCTATACATTTTCGTATAATGCCATGTCATTTACAAAAACTTTTCAAAAAGACGATTGCATTTGGAGTTAGTTTTTCCATAAATGTCTTGACACGATAGGTCTTGTTTGTGTATATTTTTTTTTTTTTTACAAAAAAAAAGAGAGGAATGTCTATTTCGTCACCTGGTCAGGGACTGAAAATAAAAATAATTCATAATAATGGTTGCTATTATCGAGGGCTTGCTAGATCACAGACAACAATCTCTGGATTTATATGTGTTACCTTATTTTATCTTTTAACAACTTAATTAGGAAGGCGAAATAATCATTATATCCCCCATGGGAGAGAATGGAACTGAGGATTTAGGAGCTTACACCTCAACAGACATTTAACAGCAGCTGCAGAGGTAGGGGAGCCCGAGCAGTGAGACCCCAAAAGATGTACTTCCACATCAGCGACACAGCGTACCGCATGTCCTCATGTGCAGGGGACAGAGTTCCCCAATCCCGCATCGTGACGGCGTAGTTCGGGAGGCCTTGAGTGAGCGGGGCCGTGTCATTGAGGAGAGTGAATGGACCCTGGCGATCCAACAAACTCAATTCGTCTGACCTCACTCGAGCCCCTCCCGTGTGAAAGGCGGCTGCTCTGCGGATCAGGGGACTCAGAAATGAGAAGGGGTTTGGCGTGTTGTGCTGCAGTGAGCCCGAGCGGGTGAAGAGGGTGGGTGGCCACACCTAATGAGTGTGACTGTTCATTATTGTCTTCAAGATTCCTGGGGAAAGTTGACAGGCACTGTTGACCCTCTGGGTGCTGGGACCTGTGCTGAGGAAGCTCTTTACGTTCATTAGCTCGGTGGTTCCCAAATTCGGATCCATCCACGGACTCATCTGATTCTGTAATGACGTTTGCAACAGATTGCCGCTAAATGGGAAAATCAAGGGCAATTTAGTGAAAATTTTAATAGACCTAAATTTAATCAGTTTGAAGGACAGTCCTTTATTTTGAAATTATGTCCTTCTGTTTTTTGGGTTTTTTTGGTTTTTTTTTTTTTCTTTTTGGTGCAAAATGCTCTTTCCTTTATGGAATGATGATGATGCTAGAGAGGGCATGTGAATTTGTGTGTGTGTGTGTATGTGTGAATGTACTAAATTGGCAAAAAAAAATTTAAAAGTTGCTAATTTCATGCAATCCCTCCATGGTTTTTAGACTCACATTATAACTGCCCATAAATTAGAGATGTGGGGATGAGAAGTCTGAGAATCATTGCAATTCTGTGAGTGGGCCATTATTGGTCCCATTTTACAGATGAGGAAACTGAGGCTCAGAGCGGTTAACTCACATGCTCATGTTCACATAGCTTATGAGTAGCAGGTCTTGGATTTAAACTCAGTTTGGATGTTTCCATAGACTCGGAACACCCTCATCACGGCATTCCGCTGCTTTTGCAGAGATGGGCTTCCAGGCCTGGCCATGGATATGGGCCATGCAGCCATTTCGAAGTCCTGGGACTCTTTGGGTGTCTCTTTGCAGTACAGGCTGGAATTCATCACAGCTTTAGAGATTCGCGGCGTTATCCGGGGGCCGATTTTAGGCAGGTCTGGTTCTCCCCTTGCAGGAATGCAGGAGTTGGGAAGACCCCGGCTTGTGTCCCTTCCGTCTGCACCTGTATCCCGTGCCTCTGCTCACTACCCTCAAAACTGTGCACAGTGTAGGTGTGTGCAGAGGTAAACGCAGACGCCCTGCGAGGTGGCACAGGGCAGGCCCACACAGTGGGGGAGGCCTGCTAACGGCTCAGAGAGCCAGGTCTCGGCGCGGAGCTAGCACTCCACAGCCCCACAGGCAGGAGCCAGCGAGACGCCACAGTGGGAGAAACAGGGAAAAAGGGAGAAGACACACAATTCCCACGTCTCCCGAGCTTCCTCCTCACTGAGCCTGCAGTGGGGAAGGAAGGGAGTTTGGGCCACGGCTTTGCAGGAACGAGGAAAGGCCAGGCTGGGTCTCTGTATCTCCCGGGTGTATACGCTAGGCCTGGTGCAAAGACAAACCACTCACCCCTCGCTATGGAGTGAGGGACTGGGAATCAGACACACCTGGGTTTTTGCAAACCAGTGGCGTCCCTTATTTCCTACAGGAACCATAAGCAAGTTTCCCACCTGGCAGTCTGTTTCTCAGCAGCCTGGGCACCTGAGGAAGTGGTGGGGCGAGGATCAAAATACTTTCGCTTCCATTTCGGAACAACCTTGTCCCTAAGAAGTGGTGCTGTAAACAGAAATGAGGTTCTCAGTTGCCGAAACCCTGTATGGCTACCAAGGTACCATGTGCTCCTCTTTTTTGTTGTGGATGTTAAAAACCTAGAATATGGCAACTCAGTAGTGGGTTCAGGCAGGTTCTCCTGTATTAGGACAATTTACCACCATATCAGAAATTATTCCTTAGGAACGTGTGACCTGGGGTCTTCAGTGATAGTGGTAGCAAAGTAGCAATAATAACAACAATAATATAATTGCTTCATTTTATTATAGGAGAATGCACAAACATATTCTTATTGTGAAAGTCTAAACAACATAAGCATGTATAGAGTAAACATTGGCAATCCCTTCCCTACCCTAGCTGAAAACATAATTACCACTTTGACTTATACCCTTCCAGGTCCCTCTGTAAACATTTCACGTGTTTGTATATTTATCTCTGTATGTGCACATACATATGCACCAGCCTATATGTATGTCTGTATACACATGCACATTTAAAGAGATTGCAGGGTTTTGTTGTTGGTTTGGTTTGGAGTTCACATACGGAATTTTATTACATATACTCTGGAACTTCTTAGAAGTCTTTCCAGGGGAAAGATGCCCATTGGCCTGGATGCCCATTGGCCTTTTTAACAGGTACATTGCATGCACGTGCCATACTTTGGTTCACTCATCTCCTATTATCTCTCATTACAGCGGACCCGTGAACAACTCAGGGGTTAGTGGCGCTGGCCTCCCCTGCAGTGGAAAATTTGAGTATAACTTTTAACTCCCCGAAAACTTAACCACCAATAGCCTACTTCTGACTGAAAGCCTTACCGATAATGTAAACAATCGATTAACGCATACGTTTTATGTTGTTTGTATTATATACTGTATGCTTACGCGAAAGCAAGCTAGAGGAAAAAATGTTGTTGAGAAAATCGTAAGGAAGATAAAACGTATTTACTATTCATTAAGTGGAAGTGGGTCCACCATAAAGATCTCCATCCTTGTCATCTTCACCTTGAGCAGGCTGAGGAGGAGGAGGAGGAAGAGGAGGGATTGGTCTTGCTGTCTCAGGGGTGGCAGAGGCGGAGAAAATCGGTGTGTAAGGGGACCTGTGTGGTTCTAACCTGTGTTATTCGAGTGTCAACTGTATTTGCTTTTATAAGCAATGCTGGAGCGAACATCCTGGTTCATGTTATCTCAAATATGTCAGCAGGACGGAGATCTAGAATTGGAGTAGCATCTCTCAAGTGTTGGTAATGCGTGCCAGAATGTCATGTCCATGCACCACTTTTGACTCCCACCATCTGTGCTTCAGATCACTCATTTTTCCACAGCCGTTCCAACTCTAGATATTCCTGGTGGGCATTTTATTCATTTCATTGGTTGATTTTCCCTTATTAACGGATGTCAGTCTTGTGGGCAAAAGATACGTAGTAATCTGTTCTAAGCAACCAATATAATCTTGAAAAGAGCTTTTGCAGTAGGAGGTAGTGGTGACCTGGGTATTATTGCCCGCGCTTGTGTTTCTGCTCTTGCAGGCCTGGCTTATTTTTGCTCCTGGCCTCACTGATGCCCCACACCCAGGCTGGAAAGCTAGAGAGGAGCTGGAGGGTCCTTTATGCAGAACTGGACTCTAACCTTCAGCCCAGTCCTGTCGTTACATACAGAGGAGTTGTCACTGCATAGCTGGAATTGGTTCTGCCAGAGACCCAGCCCTCTCGACTCTGCACGGGGAGCGCCGTGCTGATTTGAGCACCGCCGAGTCCTGGGCCCTCCGACTCTGTGCCACGGGGTGAACATGCCTTTGCCTGGAGAGCTGAGTCTGAGAAATGAGCTCCTGCAGGATGCTTCCCTCAGGGGCTGGGACCTCATTCTAGAGGCCAAGTTTAACATACACATCACAAGTGCCAAACTTCCCACTGTTGCCCTTAGGAGACTGACCCAGGAGAACTCCAGAATTCACATACAAATGCTCCTGAATTCAAGATGGGTTACATCCCCCCAAAAAAAAAACCATCATAAGTTGAAAACATCTAAGGAGAAAGCATGATATGTTCAATTTACGATGGGTTTATCTGGATATAGCCCCATCATAAGTCGGGGATATCAGTATTAGACAGAGCTAAGGCTGGGCAGTTGGACTGGAAGGAGCAAGGGTGCAAGGGGGTTTCTGTGGGCCGGGCGCGGTGGGTGGCTTACACCTGTAATCCTAGCACTCTGGGAGGCCGAGGCGGGAGGATAGCTCAAGGTCATGAGTTCAAAACCAGCCTGAGCAAGACCCCGTCTCTACTAAAAAAATAGAAAGAAATGAATTGGCCAACTAAAAATATATATTAAAAAAATTAGCCAGGCATGGTGGCGCATGCCTGTAGTCCTAGCTACTTGGGAGGCCGAGGCAGTAGGATCGCTTGAGCCCAGGAGTTTGAGGTTGGCGTGAGCTAGGCTGAGGCCACAGCACTCTAGCCCGGGCAACACAGTGAGACTCTGTCTCAAAAAAGGGGGGGGGGTTCTGTGAAGCTGAAGCTACATTTTCCAGAGCAAGCACACTTCTGAGATAGCTTTTACTGCAACCTGCCCTTCCCTGGTTTCCCTTATCTCCTGATCTGCCTCTTATTTTCCCCACAGCACCCATCACTTTCCATTATACCATACAATTTACTTACTTTTGGCTTTTATTGTTTATTTTCTGCTCCCTTCCCCCACTAGAATGTACACTCTGATGTCAGGGGTCTTTGTTTGTTCCTTCCCCGCCGATGCAGACCTAGGGACAAGAACAGTGCCTGGATGAGATCAACACTGAGTATTAGTGTCACTCAAGTGTCTGAACAAGCCAGTCAATCAAAGTGCTTGGGATAGAGCTAAGTCATAAAGTTTTCTAAAGATACTTTCCTGCTCACTTCAGTGAAGGCTGAGAATACGTAGTTGCCAGTATTAACCTTGGAAGGGAGAGTGAAACACTTCTAAGCCACACTTTGGCATTCCCACGGAGCTCCCCCTGGTATAGATAATTACATTTAAGATCAAGAAGCATAATACTTCTTTCTGTCTAACGTGAGTCTTTCTTGCTTTGAGGCATGACGACTCTCATCGAAAAGATCATTTAGTGAAATGTCTGCTATTTTAACAGCCTTAGGAAGTTATAATAACAGATTATGAAAAAGAGAAAAGAATTAAAAATACCTATTTATTTTCTTCTCTTAAATAGCTGGCAAGTTTGGAGGAAGAAAAAATATTATAATATTATTGTGTGGGTCAGATTAAAACTCGGGCAGTTGCCTTCTGCCTAGGGAAGTTTCATTTGGCAATGGCATTATTCATGGCCAGTTTTCCTGCACTCTTACAGCTTCCTACAGGGTCCCTATAACCACTCAATTAAGGGTCCTTGTAGCTGAAAGGCAGGCAGGGTGGCCCTTGAATGAGCAGGCAATATATGCACCCAAGTGACAGTGATTGCCCATGGATTCTTTGTAGAGAGAGACGAGAGTGTTTTCTTTACCCAGATCTCCCACTTATCCATATAGCAGGATTGTTCTGGAGCCAGTAGCATCAATATGGCTCTCTCTTAGTCTCTGTAGAGATAGAATTCAGATTCAGTATCCCCAGATGCTGCGTAAAAGGCTGGCAAGATTTTGTCATCAAGTGAGCAATGGTTGCAGATATGGTGCTAACATTTGATTTGGGGGCATTGGATGCTCTTTTCCTGATGAACAAGCTCTGGTAGTATCGATGGCAAAACGTTCCTGCGCGCTCCTTTTTGTGGCTGCCGCGTTTGTGTCTCTGCGCACGGTTGTGTTTGCGTGCTCTGGTGGAGGGTGCTCAGGCTTGGTTGTCCAGGGAACAGAGGTTGGCTCCACCTGATTTGGACATGGATGTAGGAGATCTGGATGTCGTCGTTGTTTTACTTTGTAGATTTGCAGCCTAACTGTGAAGACCTTAGTTCAAGGGAAAGCCTGAGCCATTTTGCAAAATGAGTCTGTAGGAATCTGATCACTGTTAAGGGTTTCCAACTTTGGGGAGAAAACGATCTGGAAAGCCTGTGTTAGCTCAGTGCAGCCCAGAGCGGTTATTGGTTCTTTACATAATATATTTGTTTTTCATTAAACCACTCAGATAAGGTCTTATTAAAGTGCCATGTATTATTTATCATGTTTCTTATGAAAATGAGCTGAAGAAAAAGTTATGTGCTGTTTTTTGGGGGTATTTGCAAGCCTTTTCAATGCCAGGGAGAAAAAAAAAATGAAGGAAAACAGTGCGAACCCTTCAGTATAGCAAATTGCTTGAGGCAACAAAAAAAGAAAAACAAAAAATAAAAAAAGAAAAGTAAAGAAAAAAAGAATGGGAGAGTAAGGATTGACAAGGCAGAAACTTGGCCTTTTATTCCACGCGTGTTTTGTGAGTGACTTTGTCTTTGGTTTTGTGAATTGCAAAATGAAATGAAATGAAATAAAATAAAAGACAAGTAGAAAGTAAGAAAAGAGAGAAAGAGGGCATCTGTTTATTTATAAATCAGAGCTTGTCTGATGAATGTGATTTCTAACACAAAGCAAGAATTCTTCAAACTTATCACTGCCCCCTCCCAAAAAAAAGCAGCACAAAATACTAGCCTGTGTTCCCCCAGTTTGCCATGTGAACTTCTGCTTAGGGTTAAACCGTGCTGCTGTGTCCCTACTAAATTGATGGGCTGTGCATGCCCCAGGGTTATTGGGGGAATGGGTTTTGCAAGAGGAAAAGTAGAAAGAAACAGAGTTTGGGGCCTAGTGTTTGGCTTGGTAAGGACTTTATATTTATTTCAAAACAGAACAACAAAAAAGCAGAGCTGCGGAATAATTAGTTTCCTTTTTTTCAGAAAGCATTTTGATTAGCTTGCAAAGTGAGCTGTGCCTTGTGGCTGAGGGCTCAGTCCAGCCTTCACTTGGCCTAGAATGTCAGGGTGAGCCCTGCAGAGGGAGGTCCACTGGGGATGTCTCTAGTGGCCCGTCCCAGGGTCCTGCCCTAAATGTTCCTTCCAGGGAGAGCCCCATCCCCCCTGGGGGCAGCTCTGTCCTGCAGGGCAGTGACAAGCCCTCTCAGCAAGGTTTCTTTCAGGGAACCCAACAACCAAAAAAGATGCTGTGCAGACAATTGACCTCTTGCTCTGAAAATAAAAAGAAAATAAAAACCAAAACAACAAAATCTAATCACTAGGTCAAAATCTATATAAAAAAACACAGCTACTATTCCTGATCATGATTTTACTATTGCTAAGAATGTATCTCCTCCCCTCCCCTCCTTGGGAACCCAGGACAAGTTAGAGTCTTAATGTTTTCTTTCTTTTGATTTGCAGATCACATCCTATTTTATTGCATAAAGACTAACAAAATCTACTAGTGAATAATAATTATTACATAAATAAAAGGGGAGGGGGAGACCCTGCTGCAAGAGCAGAATGTAAATTTAGCCAAGGAGGGCTGGCCAGGCAAGGAAAAAAAATATATATATATATATATATATATGTAAAATAAATAAACCGTTGCAATTTGCTCGCTGCAGCCGACGACAGAGTAATCTCTTATCAGACAGGCTTCCTACCCCGTGTGCATTTATAATTTGAGAACAGCGGGGACTCCAGGCGGAGAGAAGCCCCCTTTGCATTCACCCTGAGCTGGCGCGTGGTCCAGCAGCCTGGGCGGTTTCTCGCGCTGAGCGGCCGGGGCTGGCTCGCCGTCTGGGCTGCTGCCCAGCAGAGCGTGGCACGGCGCGACGAGCGCTGCGCCCGCGGAGCCTCCAGGTGCGTGGCCGCGGGCCGCCCTGCGCTGCGCTGCCGGGGCGCGGACCGCCTTCCTCCCGCGCTCAGCCCCAGCCCCGCCCCGGCCCTGGCGTCTCAGCACGAGGGAATCCCTTTTTTCTGTGTTTATTTTATTATTATTATTATTATTTTTTATTTTTTTTTGCCAGCGAATCGGGCAAACAGACCGCCAGCGCCAGTACCCGCGACTCCGGTCCCGCTGGCGATCGCTTAATTGTCCGGCTCGCCCTGACGCCGGCGAGGTGGGGC